CCACTCACGGATCCGCTCACGGGAGGGGAGCTCCCGGCTAGGAGGAGAAGCACTACCACCAGTCCCAGTAGTACGCCTGGCTCCAGAGGTACCTCTCCTGAGGCTGCAGTACTGGAAGTACCACTCACGCACCTACTCCGAGGAGAGGGCTCCGCCAGGTGTAGGACCCTCAGGCTCAGGACCTCCAGATTCAGAACCCCCAGACTCCGTACTCTGCGGCTCAGCACCCCCAGGCTCATTACTCCCAGGCTCACCACCCCCAGGCTCCGCACCCCAAGGCTCAGCACCCCCAGGCTCCGCACCCCCAGGCTCCGCACCCCCAGGCTCCGCACCCCCAGGCTCAGCACCCCCAGGCCCCGCACCCACAGGAGGACGAGAGTCGACAGCTACCTCAACAGGCTCAACCGGGTCTACCTGAGACACACCTGAGGGAGCGGCACCCTGAGGGGGGAGGGGATCTACGACAGCTGCACCTGGCGCGAGGAAGAGAGGCGGGGGGGGGGGAGCGGGGCAGTGCGGTAGGGGAAGAGGCGGTAGTAGGGGACGGACTCGTCAAAAGTGACATCCTGAGAGGGCAAGACTCGGCGCGAGGTGGCGTGGTAAAACTGCCAACCAGGCGCGTCCCGGACAAAGCCGAGGAAGACGCAGGGAACAGCACAGGAGGAGAGCTTGTCCGCAGACGTATCGAGGACAAAAGCTCGAGATCCCCAGACCCGGAAACGCGACGCATCGCCAACCTCCCCCGTCCACAGCAGTGTGGGCGAGGTCTCTGGCAAGGAGACACGGGGCCAGAGGTTGAGCTGATGCGCAGCGTACCGGACCGCAAACGGCCACAAAAAGTGGGGGGCAGCCGCATGGATCAAGGAGGTACGGGCGACCTCCATGACCAGGCCAATGCGGCGCTCTGCAATCCCATTCTGCTGTGGAGAGGCCGGAAGCATGAACGACTGATCAATGCCGTGCTCAGCACAGTAGGCTGCCAAGAGGTCGGAGGAGAACTCACCACCTCTGTCAGAGTGCAAGCGCAGGATAGGAAAGTCCGAGTGGAAACGCTCGCTGAGCTGGAGACGGGCTCTGCGGATCCAAGGGATCAAGACATCAGGGACCTCACCCTTGGTGCGCAAAGGGAAGACCGTGGTCATCAACAACTATCAGGAAGTACCTCTCTTGACCCTGACCACGGACGCGGGCTGGACCCCACACGTCCATGTGGAGTGTCGGCAAGGGAGCAGACGTCAGGAGAAATGTGGAGGAGTGAGGAGCGGCGCGCTGCCGCCCCTCGACGCAGGGAAGACAGGGAGGAGCAGGCGAGGGTGGGAGGGGAGGGAGGACTCTGGGAAGACCGGAGACAAGGTACCGGGAGTGCATGGCACGAAGGCGCTGCACAGACGGGTGGCCAAGTCGGTGGTGCCAGAGGACAGTCTCGTGCGCCAGAGAGCAACACGAGCAGGGGACAGACAGCTGACCTGACACAGACGCAGATGCAGCGACCTGAGGGGACTCAGTGGTCAGTGTGTACAGGTCCGACCCCGGCTGCCGAGTGAAGGTAGCCAAGTGGCGGCCCGTACCAGCACACGTGCAGTGTGTCACGCGCTCGTAGGCAGGGGTGAACTGGTGAACACCCCCGTCCTGGAGTGCACTACTTGCCACCAAGTTCGTAGAGAACGAGGGGAGGTGGAGACCTAACAGTGTGCCCGACGGGACCGCAGGACAGGGAAGGACAGTGGAGGAGGTCGCAATGAACGGACCGCCAGAGGGGTCAGCGAGGGAGACAGCAACTGGCCGAGCAAGCGGCTCAAGGGCAGTGCGGTCACGAAAGAAGCAGCGAGAAGCACCTGAGTCCAGTATGAAGGTGTGCAGTGCTGCCGTCGACTCAGTACCAGGGGGGGCAGACGCACAAGCACCTTGAGCAGCTGCCTCACCAGCACCTGGGGTAGCAGACACGCGAGTATCCGGAGCGGTAGACGCACTAGTCCTAATGCCCGGGTCGGGCGGCACACACAGGTACTCAGCACCCTCTCCACTAGTAGACATCACATATATAGCAGATAGAATAACATCAAAGTCTAAAGGATAGATATCAATCCCCTTCCTCAGGAGATCAATCCAGCGGGGCAGCTCAGTGGCGTGAGGGAACTGAACACGCCAAGCATCGTTGAGACGAGCGAAGCAGCGCTGTGTGGTGTGCGATCCCCCACACGGCTGACCAGTGCGGTCACCCGTGCGAATGACGTACGTGCAGCTAAAGCCACCCCCCCCCCCCCCCCCCCCCCGTGCTGTGAGTACCACTCACGGACGTCCTGGGGCGACGGAGTGTGCTGCTGGCCCTGGCCACCGCCAGCGCCTCCACGACCACCACCGCCGCCGCCACCTCCTCGATCACCCCAACCCCTGCCGCCGCCGCGTCCACCGCCACCCCCACTACCGCCTCCGCCCCTGCCACCTCCCCCGCCGCTGCCGCCACCACCCCCACCGCTACCACTAGCCCCACCAGTCCCACCACCACCCCAACAGCCGCCACCACCCCCACCACCGCCTCCCCCGCTGTCACCACCTCCTCCCTTGCCCCCTTTGCCCTTGCCGCTGCGGCGCCCGCTCGAAGCAGACGCAGCACCGACCTTCTCAGCACCAAGGAGGTCGACAGCAGCAGCAGAGGCGACAGAGGGAAGAAGGGGGGAAGGAGAACACCCCTCAAAGAACGGGGTACGGGGTTCGCCACGAGAGGCAGCTACAGCTACGATGCTAGCCTCAGCTGCAAGCAGTTCCCTCTCGAGGAGGGCAATGGTGAGCTCAGTGGGGCAGCGAGCTAGGAAGTGATTCCTGACAGCACGCAGAGTGTCAAGGAAGCGGGTGACTAGGTGGTAGAGAGTGAGCCAGAGTGGGGGGGGGGTGCGTGGCAAGGAACTCATCAGGCATGGCGGCACGGAAGCGGGCCTCACTAGTACGGAGGTGCGTGATGAGGTCAGCGACTGTGTGGAACGAGGCCAGGTCGGGAAACAGGTAGGGGAGGGAGAGACGGCCTAGCGTGGCTGAGGCAGGTGAGGAGTAGCGAGCAACGACAGCTGTGTACAGTGCCTGTGCAGTCTTGTGCTGGCCAAAGTGCTCGCGCTCGTCTATCGGCAGGGAGTTGCGAATAGCAAAGCGAGCGTGGGCATCACGAGTCTGCCACTGTGAGCGAGCAGTGCTGTCAGCAGTAGCAGCAGGGGCAGTGACATGGCCTAGGGCGTGGTCGTACAGTGAGATGTCGTCCTTGGCTGTGAGCTGAAGATAGATGTGCAGGTCGTCTAGCCAGGTGTCAAACTTCACTGGGCGGCCCTCAGCATCGAAAACTAGCACCTGTGGGCTAGCCATAGGAGCAGTAGGAGTAGCAGTAGGAGTAGGAGGATGAAGCAGGTAGGGCGGCTCGGTTTTGGTAGGGCGGCGCGGCTCGGGTGGGGCGGCGCGGTTCGGTTCGGGTCGCGCGGCTCGGCTCGGGTCGCGCGGCTCGGCTCGGGTCGCGCGTCTCGGTTCGGTCCTAGGCGGCTCGGTTCGGTCCTGGGCTGTGGCGGTCACGGACCGTTCGGGGCCTCTAGGGAGGTGAGCGAGGGGCCGTAAAGGGGGCTCTAGGGGCCGACGGGGCCGTTCGGGGCCTCTAGGGGCCGACGGGGCCGTTCGGGGCCTCTAGGGAGGTGAGCGCGGGGCCGACGGGGCCGCAAGGGGCCTCTAGGGAGGTGAGCGCGGGGCTGACGGGGCCTTTCGGGGCCTCTAGGGAGGTGAGCGCGGGGCCGACGGGGCCTTAAGGGGCGGGTCGCGGGTCGCTAGGGGGCGGGTCGCGGGTCGCGGGGCCTTAGAGGGCCGTGAAAACCGAGGCGCCCTAGGGCGCAGGTAGGTAGGTAGGTAGGTAGTGGTGGGCCCTAAAAAATCGGTCCTAGGAAGGACCTGCTCTATACCATGTTGAAATGAATGAACAGGAATGGTTGAACTAACAGTGAAATCAGTACACCTAACCCTAGAATTGTGTACCCCCTATAGGCTAACCCACTGTAGCCTAAACAAGCACAACATATATAATGTTTGACAAATACATCGCCGCGATAGCAGCAGTTCGCGAAGGATTGTACCTGCAGGAGCTGCTACAGGAAGCGAAAATCCCAATCTCGCCTACCTTTCGTCTTCACTACGACAACTGGAGTGCCATCAGGATCGCGAACAAGCCAGGATTCGTGAACCGCACGAAGCACATCGCACTTCGGTATTTTTTCGTCAAGGACAAAATTGACCAAGGAAAGGTTGACCTCGCCTACTGCCCTACTACTGAGATGGCGGCAGACTTCCTCACCAAACTTCTGCCACGTCAGCAGTACAAGCACTGCACTGACCTCACCGGGGTAGTCAAGCGAGTCAGCTCCACCCGCGTCCAGGAATGAAGGGGAGTGTTACGATATGAAGTTTTATGAGAAGGCATTCCTGTATGTCAAGTTATATTTATATGTTATGTTTAGGTTGTCTAGGCTATATGGGGGTTAGCACTAGGGGGTACAACATTTCTCTCGACATTCTTCTTGTACCCCCCCTTTACCTAATCAATCACACAACTTCATGCCTAAGATTATAAAACTGTATGCTGCAGGAGCCGACTCTACGGAGTACGAAGTCGAGGAGTCAGAAGAGTCGAAGCGTCACGGCAACCGCCTGACCAAGACCGATGCAGGCAGAAACATTTGAAGTGGAAAGAGCGGGAACAGGTTCACAACGGGTTCCCGCATCGCACGGTTTGAAATTGCTGTATTAAGGGAATGTACCCCTTAGATTACATGGCTAGCCTAGGTCTTTTCGTATTCCCTTGTATTCTTATATAAACCTGATGTATGCATGCCATTATCATTTACATTCACTCTGACCTGAGATTCAAACTTCCGCTGCAAACACTACTCTGCGATCAACCCTGAGCGATCCTTCGCTAAGTCCCACTTGGGATTGTAACACCAAACAACGCCAGAGCTCCACGAAACGCTCATACATCATGCCATGCCCATATTACGCCATGGGCCCCACACAGCTCCAACAAGGGTCAGAACTGATAATCCCATCAGTGCCCACCCGCCCACTTGGGAATGACTCGCAAACACCTCTTCATGCTTACGGTCCCCAAACCACATCACAGCACTGTCCAGCGTCCAGTCCTTTTTTTTAGTCGACTCAGAAAAAGACTCACTGTCCAGCGTCCAGTCCATTCCCCTCTCCAAGCCCTTCCCACGCCTTGCTTCCTCTGCCCCACCGTTCCCCTCCCTCACACCACCCCTTCCATCACCTCCTCCCTCTGCTGCACAGCTTTCTGCTCCTCCTACACTCTCTGCCTTGATCGCTTCGGTCGGGGGTATGTTGGTGGAAGAGAGAGGGTACGGGGCAGGTGTTATCTGGACAGGCATGACTGAGGCGACATAGTCAGTGACTGGCACCTGTTGGGGGTAAGAGGAGGATCGCGAGAGGGAGGAGTGGGAAGAGCAGAGGGGGGAAAAGTGACTGCCTGGTGGATGGAGGTACAAGGTGGCACAATGAAATGGTTGTCTGCCAACTGCTATCTTGGCAGGACGCAGAGGTAAGCAGCAGGAGGTAAGCAGCAGGAGGTATCTGGGTGCGATGCCAATGGCATGGCATGGCATGCACGCATTAGGTGGCACAAGAAAATGGTAATCACCAACTGCCCTCTTGGCAGGACGAGAATACAGGTAAGCAGAAGGAGGCATCTGGGATGCCAATGGAATGGCATGGGCATTGCAGTGTAGGCCTCACCTGGTGCAGGCATCATCACCTGGTGCAGGCATCATCACCTGGTGCAGGCATCATCACCTGGTGCAGGCATCATCACCTGGTGCAGGCATCACCTGGTGCAGGCATCACCTGGTGGAGAGGCGAGGGGAAGTTGACGCTGCGGTAGCCCGGAGTGGACATGAGGAACCGTGGATCGTACGACTCAAAGAGACTGCACAGGCATGGTGCGGGATGATACGGGCAGGGCATAGTGACAGGGAGCTTGTGTATGGCATGGCATAGCCCGGAGTGGACAGGAGGAACCGTGGTTCGTACGACTCAAAGAGACTGCACAGGCATGGTGTTGCGCACATGGCATGTCATGACACAGCACATCATGATATGTCATGACACAGCACATAATGGCATGTCATGACACAGCACAGCATGGGATGTCATGACACAGCACAGCATGGGATGTCATGACACAGCACAGCATGGGATGTCATGACACAGCACAGCATGGCATGTCATGGCCCAGAGTGGACATGAGGAACCGTGGATCGTACGACTCAAAGAGACTGCATAGCGCACATGGCATGGTGTAAAATTGCATGGCATGGCGTGGCATGGCATGATAACAATAGGAAGCATGTGAGGAAAGGTTATGTTGCTCCAGTAGAGTCACTTTGGGGGTTGTGAAAGGTAAGGTTCGTATACGGCATGGCTGCAGTGGTGCTTGCAGTGGTGCTTGCAGTGGTGCCTTTTTTGAGACGTCTCAAAAGGTAAGGTTCTTATACAGCATGGCTGCAGTGTTGCACACACATGAGTGTGGGTTGGCTTGTGCACATACATGGTGTTGGCCGCACACTCATGGGTTTCGGGTGGCCGAGAGGAGGCCATTAGACTGCGACAAGAAAATAGACTTCAGCATACTGTTGCATGAAATAACCGAAACTACTTGAGAAGGTGTTAACTGCCAAGGGAGGTGTTACCTGGCGAGAGAGACGTTGGAGCGAGCATTGATTTGATGCAGAAACTGCAGCGTGTGGTATGTGAAGAGATCCACCACTGTGACTCCCAGCTGCATGAAAGAAGGAGAGGGAGAAGAGGAGTGGCGGGGAGAAGAGGGGTGCGGGGATTGGAGGGGAGATCGAGGGAAGTGAGAAACTGCAGCGTGTGGTATGTGAAGAGATCCACCACTGTGACTCCCAGCTGGACGCAGGAGACAAGAGACAAGAGGAGTGGTGGGGAAGTCTAGTTTTGAGGCGCCAGGGAATGTATCAAAGTCAGGGAGGTAGGAGTAGGACTTCTCAAAGCAGCATGTGACCATAGCAGAACGTGCTTATCTCACAATGCGCTGATGTGTTTGTGCAAGCATGCGCTCACATTAATGGCAAGCATGCGCTCACATTAATGGCACGCATGTGCTCACATTAATGGCACGCATGTGCTCACATTAATGGCACGCATGTGCTCACATTAATGGCACGCATGTGCTCACATTAATGGCACGCATGTGCTCACATTAATGGCACGCATGTGCTCACATTAATGGCACGCATGTGCTCACATCAAGGTCAGGCAGGCAGGAGCAGGACATGTAATAGCACAGTGCAATACGACCAAAGCGTGCTATCACAAGATGTGCCTGTAATGCATGTGCTTACATCGAGGTCAGGTAGGTAGGAGTAGGACATCTCGCCCTTGGCACTGCTGGCGACAGAGACGATGCCGGGGGAGTAGATCTGTGGGGCGGGAGGGGATCACAGGGTGGGGAGCGCAGAGGAGGGGAGGCAAAGGATGAAGGGTGAAGGGCGAAGGGCGAAGGGCGATGGTGTGTTTCAATTGGCACTGCTGGCGACAGAGTCAATGCCGGAGGAGTAGATCTGCACGGAGGGGGGGAAGGGGGAAAAGGGCGAACGGTGAAGGACAAAACTGTCGGCCTTGGCACTGCTGGCGACAGAGACAATCCCTGGAGAGTAGATTTGGAGTGAGGGGGTCACAGAGTGACGGGATCACAGAGTGAGGGGGTCACAGAGTGAGGGGGTCACAGAGGGAGGGGGTCACAGAGTGAGGGGGTAAATGGCAAGGGGCGCAGAGCGAATGATGTTGACTGGTGGCGAGAGAGACTATTCTGGGGAGATGAATTGGATGGAGTGGATGGCAGGGTGGTGGGGATGGCAGGGTGGTGGGGATCACAGGGTGGTGGGGATCACAGGGTGTTACCTCGGAGTAGTGGGTTTGCGCCTGGCATGTGTCAATCATAAGGAGTATGGAGAGAGGGAGAGAGAAATAGATTGGTAAGGAGGCATACTATTCGCTGCAGAGCAGCATCAGAGCAGGGCATACCTCGGAGTAGAGAGTTTGCGCCTGGCATGTGTCGATCATGAGAAGGATTGAATGGTACCTGGGATGGGACAGGGGAAAGGGTGGTGGAAAAATATGGGAGAGGAATGGTGAAATACAGTTGCTTTTAACTGTCGATCAAGAGGAGGATGAAATGGCACCTAGTCGATGGGACAGGGGAAACAGAGGTGCCATATGGGAGAAAAGAGAGGTATGGGAGGTGCTGATATGGGATAAGGAAGGAGGTTATCCAATGGCATTATGCGACCATGCGGAGGATCAATTCGTACTTGCTGCTGTGATAGAAAGAAGGGGGCTGAAGGAGGGGGGGGAGGGGAGGAAGGGGGGAATGATTGATTGAAAGGGGTGACGCCAGGGTGCAGGTCAGGTGACTCTGGCAGGGAAAATGGGCGCCTGAATATTGGAGGAAAAAGATGTCTGAACCCGGAATCGAACCGGAGACCTCCAGTGTGTGAGACTGGCGTGATAACCGACTACACCATCCAGACATGCTGACCACAATCCTGGAAATATACTGGACATTCATCAGGTCAAATAGGATGCAACAGGTGTCAGAGGAGATGCTGCTGCTCACCTGTGACCTTGGGTGCATATGTTTAGTCTAGGCCCAGATTAGTGGTTAGGCCAGATCTAGTAGTGTCAGAAAGAACGACGGCACACCTGTGCTGCTGGTGCATGTGGTGAAAGGCGTCAGCCAAATCTTGAGCCTGCAGCTCCTCTTTGTCGCGGAATTTCAGAAACTTGTCTCCCCCGTGGCCCGTGAGGTAGATGGGGATGTGACTGCTGGTTATGTGAGAGCCGGGAGGAACGCACGAACAGCGAGGGACGACCCACCCACCTGTGCTGCTGGTGCATGTGGTGAAAGGCGTCGGCCAAATCCTGAGCCTGAAGCTCCTCCTTATCACGGAATTTGAGGAACTTGTCTCCCCCGTGGCCCGTGAGGTAGATGAGGATGCGGCTGCTGCCGTCCGAGAGAAGCCGCTTGCTACGCGGAACAGACGAATCGTGCCGCCCGGTGAGCAGGCGCAGGAACGCATCGACTGTCACCTCAGCCCCGCGGTAGTCCACCTGAGAGAGAAGGGGGGCAGGGGGGGGAACAGGGGGGAAGGGGGAGGGGAGGGGGGTGGGGAAGGAGGGTGAGCATTGATATAAGAAGGAACACATCCACTGTCACCTCGGCCCCACGGTAGCCCACCTGAGAGAAGGGGAAGGGGAGAGCAGGGGGGAGGCGGGAGGGGGAAGAGGGAGGGGAGATAAAGGGGTGAGGAAGGGCTGTGTGTGTGTCTGTGCTGCAATGCATCGACTGTCACCTCGGCACCGCAGTAGCCCACCTGAGAGCCAAGGGGGAATGTGGCGGTGGTTGGTTGAGGCTGTGGAAGACACAGAGACATGATCACAACCCGTCTCAACACCCTCGGCTCACCTCCACGTGCTCCCCATAGAGGTCCAGGCGGTGGTTGGGGCTGTGAAAGACAGGAATCATGTCACCCAGAAGTGCCAACACATGGTCAACCCCTGTACCCTCCACGTAGGGCACTACCCTCTCCTCACCTCCACGTGCTCGCCATAGAGGTTCAGGCAGTGGTCGGGTTTTTTTAGTTGACTCAAAAATCGACTACTCACGCTCGCCATAGAGGTTCAGGCAGTGGTCGGGTTTTTTTAGTTGACTCAAAAATCGACTACTCACGCTCGCCATAGAGGTTCAGGCAGTGGTTGGGGCTGTGGAAGACACGGCATCGAGCCCATGTGATACCACTTTTCCGAGAACCACATTCAATAACACCATTCCAGCACCACCCTCATCTCCACGTGAAATACAAGTTGTCTCAACACGCTCATCTCACCTCCACGTGCTCCCCATAGAGGTTCAGGCGGTGGTCAGGGCTGTAGAAGGCAGACAGGCACATGCAATACAGCCCGTTTCATTGCCTGCACCTTCACATGTGCGATCTACCAGCATCCTCAATACCCTCATCTCACCTCCACGTGCTCGCCATAGAGGTTCAGGCGGTGGTCGGGGCTGTGGAATCTACACACGAGCACGCCTGGAGCCCAGCACTACCACTGCTACCACCCCAAAAACTAGCATCTCTAACACTCATTCCTCCCCTCACCTCCACGTGCTCGCCATAGAGGTTCAGGCGGTGGTCGGGGCTGTGGAAGACAATCAACTGGCCCATCAATCCCCAGTTCAAACATCCTCAATTCAAACATCCCCAACATCCTCATCTCACCTCCACGTGCTCGCCATAGAGGTTGCGGCGATGGTCAGGGCTGTGGAAGACAGGCATGCACCACCAGCATTACCAATGTTACCACCCCCAATACTACTACCCCCACCCCTCACCTCCACGTGCTCAGCAGTGGTTGGGGTGGAAGACAGATAAGCACGGGTGAGGCTCATCAGCCCCCATCCATGACCCATCTACCAGCAGCGCCCCTAGATTCAATTCAATCCCCCTCCTCTCACCTCCACGTGCTCCCCATAGAGGTTCAGGCGGTGGTCGGGGCTGTGGAAGACGCGGCCAGGGTGGGGGTTGCGGGGATTGCAGGGCATGTTGTCATCCATCACCCTCTATTGATGCTACCGATGCCACCACCCCCCCACCACCCCTCACCTCCACGTGCTCCCCATAGAGGTTCAGGCGGTGGTCAGGGCTGTGGAAAGCACACAATCGTGCCACCCAGACCATTTAAAAGACTACCACCATCCTCAATACTAGCATCCTCAATAGTAGTATCTTCAACATCTCACCTCCACGTGCTCCCCGTAGAGGTTCAGGCGGTGGTCGGGGCTGTGGAAGACCCGGCCGGGGTGGGGGTTGCGGGGGTTGCAGGGCATGTTGTCTGCCAGCATCAGGATGATTCGCTCGTCTGAGACGCCCAAATCGCGCACACTCCTGGGTGGAGAGCGGTGGAGAGTGGTGGGGTGTGGTTGAACAGGGTTGAAAGGGGTACAAGGGTTAAGGATTTTGAGGGGGTTGCCAGGGTGCGGGTTGCGGGGGTTGCATGGCATGTTGTCCGCCATCGTCAGACACGCCTAGGTCGCGCACACTCCTGGGTGGAGAGTGGTGAGATGTGGTTGAGAGGGGTTGCGGGGGATGCGGTGAAAGGTGGTTAATGGGGGGTTTGCAGGGGTTGTGGGGTTTGCAGGGCATGTTGCCCACGAGCATAAGGATGATTCTCTCGTCTGACACTCCCAGGTCCTGCACACTCCTGGTGTTCAAGTGGTGAAGGACGGCTGAAGGGGATTGTTGCTGGTATTGCGGGGTTGATGCACATGAGAGGATAATATTGCGGGGTATTGTTGTCTGCGAGCATAAGGATAATCCTCTCATCCGACACACCCGGATTCCGCAGACTTGTGTGCTTCAAGGAGTTGGAAAATCGTTGTTGCAAGGGAGGAAAATTTTGGTCGTGATTCATGGGGGTTGCAACTTGCAGGAGCGTTCAGGTAAAACATTCCTCACACTCCTGGTTAGAATCAGATGACATGAGCAGCATGCAGTGAGACGGCATTTGACACGACAGATGGCTGCTCCAAAAAGGCCTGACCAATAGTACCGTGCAGCAGCAAAGCAGCAGGGTGCATGTTACCTGTAGAGTGCGAGGGTGTTGGCGTTGTCTCGATAGTTCAGCCTGTCGTACATGCAGAGGAGACCAGGGTCGCACATTGCACATTGCAAAGCACACATCCCACATCCCACCCATATCACACACACGACACATATCACACATCACCACATGGTCGTGACTAAGGGATGAGGAATGACAAGCCATGATGTAACAGTAAAAGGGTCTCGCCCGCGTTATGATGCTTCACTTGACTTGACTGTTACATGGGAACGCATACTCCTTAACAAGCCTAACATGCTTAACCATTCCCACACCCAACACGCTCAAAAACTTGGTCACATGCCTACTCATCCCCACACTTGTCAAACCTTCACTCCCTTTCACACATCTAACACTTTCTCTCACTCACCACGATTCAACCCACATCCATGCTTACACCAGACCAGACGAATCTACTCACTCACACCTTGCCCCACCTCTTTCATCATCACCATTCACCACCGCACTGGACCGCACCAATATGCACTCATCAGTTGCCTGACGATCCCACCAGCAGCACCCACACGTTGCTGCTGCCCGCCTTGCCCCTCTCCACCCTGACACCACACACGCTCTGCAGCTGCTCACCGCACCTCCTTCCTTATCACCACTCACCACCGCGCTGCACCCTACTGCACCTCATCAATACGCACGCACTCACCAGTTTCGCGACGATCCCACCAGCACCACCCACACGTTGCTGCTTCCCGTCTCGATCCCGCTCGCACCCATTCCTCCACTGCCTGCCTCCGCATCAGCCGATCCTTCAACGGATGCGGCGTGTGCGAGCAGAGCGACGATTAGAGACGCCCATGTTACCCGTGCGACTACTGGACGAAGCGTTCGGAGAGGCGCGAGCGACATCTCGGCTTTCGCGAATTTCGCGAACTCCGGCAGGAGACGGACGGCAATGACGGAGGCGCTGCTCAGGGCAGTTTCGAGAATTTCCAAACGGGACTGTACGTGGAGTCGAATTTTGAGCTCCAAGGGATATATTGCAACGATCTCACGTGCAGGATTAGTATGACAAAGCAGTTACCGTGAAATAGATAGTCAATTTCCCGTGTTTGGGACAAACACAGGAAAACTGATGACCGCAACAAGCGGGGACGAGAGCGCGGATCACAACCATTCCCGACTGGCTGCGTGCTTGTATGCGATATGCTTGTGTGCTTTCGCTGAAACGATGCGTGCGACGACGACGATATTGGACGAAAACTCGAGTTACCCACTGGGGAACAACTTTCCTGTATAAAAGTGATCCGAGTCGTGTACACTAATGTCAACCGTATTTACAGCTCAAATTACTACTGTAGTGTGCGAAACTTCGGAGAATGATACAGCTCGGGAATCTCGAGGGGGGCGTACGCAGGAATGCAGGGAAGTGAGATTCCATTGTACGTATACCAGCACAGCACCCTTGAGAGTGCCGTGATTGTCGGAACAGGAACAGCATTGGGAGTGGCGACGACGAATCGCTCACAAGCTCTTTCGAGATTCACCTAAGCATCAGCGGCGGGACTAAAGCGACCGTTTTTTGTTCCCGCGGGGGTTGCTTGCGGCCACGCTCGCGTTCTTTTATCCAGGGGTGCTGTATCCGTTCGATCACACACTTGTGAGACACGCGCCGTGATCCATCAACGATCGCCGTTCATCCATCCGCTGCCGTCGTGATCCATCAACGGTCGCCGTTCATCCATCCGCGGCCGTCGTGATTCACCCACTGTCGACGAGGCTGTTTCCTAGTATCCGTTCCTGAATCTTCCATTCCTCGCCCAACGTTTCTTGGAATCCCCACGTTCCGTGTGACCGTCTCACCTCGTCGATCACCACTTCCGTCCATCGTCGTCGTCCACATTTCCGTCCATCTCCGTCAATATCCGTCAAATTCGTCCATCTCCATCGCCGCTTCCCATGGCGGGTCGCTCGCCGCTAGGCACGGCGGGTTTGCGGCCGGACGACATGATGATCGCCGCGGGCGACGCGGAGATCGTGCGGGAGACGTACAAAAAACTACAGCCGCACCTCAGCCACCACGCATTGATTATGTTCCTCACGTAGGTACCCGCTATATGACGCCTCGTTTGCACGCATTAGGACGATATGATGATCGCAGCGAGCGACGCGGAGATCGTGCGGGAAACATTCAAACGGCTATAACCGCACCTCAGCCACCACGCGATCATCATGTTCCTCACCTACGTACCCGCTGTAGGATGGTTTATTTGCACGCGTAGGATGAGGAGAACGTGTGGGAAACGGTCAAATGGCTGCAGCGGCACGTCAGCCACCACGCGCTCATCATGTTCCTCACGTACGTACCCGTTATAAGGCGGTTTGTTTGCACGGAATAGTAGGTGGGGATCGTTTGGGATACGTTCAAACGGCTGCAGCCGCACCTCAGCCACCACGCATTGATCACTTGTACCTGCTATAAGAATGTTTGTTTGCACACATTGCGCGGAAAGATCATGCAAGAGACGTTTAAACGCCTGCCGCCGCACCACGCGCGCATCATCATATTCCTCACGTACGTGGCCGCTAGTAGGTGGTTCTTCGTTTACTTTACACGTCTCGTGCTCATCGTGTTCCTGTCTGCTGTGTTCGCTGTCTCCCAGCGTAGCCGCCCGTCATCCTCACCTCACTTTCAGCGAGCATGATGTGTTGTTTTCAAGCGAATGCCTCTCTCATTGCTCATGCCCTTTCCTCTCATCCATCTCCGCCCCCTCTCATCCCTAACCGCCCCCTCTCATCCCTCTCCGTCCCCTCTCATTCCTCTCCGCCCCCTCTCATTCCTCTCCGCCCCCTTTCATTCCTCTCCGCCCCCTCTCATTCCTCTCCGCCCCCTCTCATTCCTCTCCGCCCCCTCTCATCCCTCTCCGCCCCCTCTCATTCCTCTCCGCCCCCTCTCATTCCTCTCCGCCCCCTCTCATTCCTCTCCGCCCCCTCTCATTCCTCTCCGCCCCCTCTCATTCCTCTCCGCCCCCTCTCATTCCTCTCCGCCCCCTCTCATCCCTCTCCGCCCCCTCTCATTCCTCTCCGCCCCCTCTCATTCCTCTCCGCCCCCTCTCATTCCTCTCCGCCCCCTCTCATTCCTCTCCGCCCCCTTTCATTCCTCTCCGCCCCCTCTCATTCCTCTCCGCCCCCTCTCATTCCTCTCCGCCCCCTCTCATCCCTCTCCGCCCCCTCTCATTCCTCTCCGCCCCCTCTCATTCCTCTCCGCCCCCTTTCATTCCTCTCCGCCCCCTCTCATTCCTCTCCGCCCCCTCTCATTCCTCTCCGCCCCCTCTCATCCCTCTCCGCCCCCTCTCATTCCTCTCCGCCCCCTCTCATTCCTCTCCGCCCCCTCTCATTCCTCTCCGCCCCCTCTCATTCCTCTCCGCCCCCTCTCATTCCTCTCCGCCCCCTCTCATTCCTCTCCGCCCCCTCTCATTCCTCTCCGCCCCCTCTCATTCCTCTCCGCCCCCTCTCATTCCTCTCCGCCCCCTCTCATCCCTCTCCGCCCCCTCTCATTCCTCTCCGCCCCCTCTCATTCCTCTCCGCCCCCTCTCACTCCTCTCCGCCCCCTCTCATTCCCTTCCTTCCAGCATATTTGACGTGTCCGAGGAGATGACGGGCCTTTTCTGGCTCGTGCCTCACTGCTCATGTGCGTTTGACCTTCATATCTTCGTCCACTGCTCGCCTCCCCTCCTCCCGCCAGCATATTTGGCGTGTCCAAGGAGATGTGGGGCCTCTTCTGGTCCGTGTCGCACACTAATGTGCCCCTGCTGCCCCTGCCCTCTTCATCTGTTTCTTCTTGCACGCATTTCCTTCCCTCCAGAATATTTGACATGTCAGAGGAAATCAGGGACCCCTTCTGGCTCGTGCCGCACTGCTTATGCATGCAACTCTCATCATGAGCTTCTCACTTGTTCATTTTCGTGCACTGCACTGCTCCCCTCTCCTCCAGCATATTTCACGTGTCAGCGGAGATGAGGGACCCCTTCTGGCTTGTGCCCCACTGCTCATGCAACTCTTGTCATGTGCTTCTCACTTTTTATCTTCCTGCCCTGCTCTCCTCTGCTTCCCCCAGCATATTCGACGTGTCGGAGGAGATGAGGGATCTCTTCTGGTCGACATCGCAGTGCTCACTTAAGGGCCCATCCCTTTCTGTGCATGATTTTCCTCCAGCATATTCGACGTGTCAGAGGAGATGAGGGATCTCTTCTGGTTCGTACGAGACATGGACGAGCCGGCGCCCACCAACCCCGTGCTGCAGAGACACGCCAACACCGCCTTCAAGCTGGTAGGTGGAGGGAGGAAGCGAGGAGGAGGGAGGGGGGATGGGAGGGAGGGGGTGGGAGGGAGGAACAGGGGAGGAGAGCGGGAAGAGGGGAGGTGGGGGGGTGGTTGGGGAAGGGGGAGGGGGGGAGGGCTCCTGTGGTTCGTGCGTGACATGGACGAACCGGCGCCCACCAACCCCGTGCTGCAGAGACACGCCAACACCGCATTCAAGCTGGTCAGTGTGGACAACAGGGTGTGTTTTGGTGGTTGGGTTGTGGGAACAGGTGATTGGGGACGAAAGGGGAGAGGAAAAGGGGACCTCCCCTGGTTCATTGGGACATGGACGAGCCGGCGCCCACCAACCCCGTGCTGCAGAGACATGCCAACACCGCTGTCAAGCTGGTGAGTGGGTGGAGAAGAGAAGAAGCGAGGCGGAGAGGAAAAGGGGGGAAGACAGAAACGAGGGTGAGGAAGTGGGGCTCTTCCGATTTTTCTTGGATATGGACGAGCCAGTGCTCGGCATACCTCTGGAAATGTCGGTTCTGGGATATAGGATCCAGGCCTCATGCTGTCAGTTGAATAACATGCCCCCATGCCATGACATTGACATGCCATTCCCTGCCATGCCTGCTTGCCACCATGCTGTGACACCTTGCCTTTGATCATCCCACTCCACTCTGCCCGTACATATGCCGGTAACCCATCCCGCCACGTCAGATCTGTGACTCGTGCTGCCAGCTGGACGACAGATCAGCGGTGGCCGGCATGCTGCCAGCGATGCAGGCTCTGGGCGGCAGACACATCAAGTACAACGTCAGGTGTCTACATATGGCGGTACGGTATGACGTGATGTGATGTGATATATATTTGTGACGCCCACATAGGGGCATGGTGCATAGAGCATGCGGCATGGGGCATGGGGCATGGGGCAATGGGGCATGGGACACGGAGCATGGGGCAATGGAGCATGGGGCAATGGAGCATGGGGCATGGGGCTTGGGGCAATGGGGCATGGGGCATGGGGCAATGGGGCATGGGGCATGGGGCAATGGGGCATGGGGCATGGGGCAATGGGGCATGGGGCATGGGGCAATGGGGCATGGGGCATGGGGCAATGGGGCATGGGGCAATGGGGCATGGGACACCACGGTCCGACCGTCTTTCCTCTCGCTTGCCCTGACTCCGCCGACCTTTTCAGGTGTTCCGGATGGCCTTTCTCAAGATATTGAGCAACGCTCTGGTTCAGGGTGGGCGGACGAGGTGGAGGGAGCATGGAACAGCTGTCACTGATCATCTACTCCCCCTTCTGTTTTCAATCTATTTTCAATCTGAGCATGGCCTTCCCCACTTTTCCAGCTCTTACCGACCACCTCGATCCCTGCCTGCCTCTCCCCGCCCACTCCCTCATGTGTTTTTGATGGCATTCCTTACAACATTGGGCAAAGATTTGCGCTCAGGGCGGCCGGAGGAGGTGCAGGGAGCATGGGGCAGCTCACGCCAACACAACACACCAACCATATTATTTGTGTGATTTTCTATCCTCGCCGTCCCACTCTCAGGTGTTTCGGATGGCGTTTCTCAAAACAGTTGGCAAGGCTTTGGGTTCGGGGTGGACAGAGGAGGTGGAGGGAGCATGGAGCAGGGCGTATGGGAAGGTGGAGGAGATGGTTGCGGCAGGGCTGGGGGGAAGATGAAGGGGAACGTGGGAATAGCTGGTAATAACTGGGGGAAACTCGTTGTGAGGGAGGCGGGAGGGGGGCAGGAGGTAGGGGGGTGGGGAAGTGGAGGTAGAGCGAGCATGGAGCAGGGCGAATGGTCAGGTGGAGGGTGTGGTTGTGGCTGGGGTAGTGGGGAAATGAGGGAGGGTGGGATAATCGGGGGAAGCTGGTGGAAAGGGGAGGGGGGAAGGAGGAAGCGAGGAGATTGGTGCATATGGAAGGTGGAGGAGATGGGGTGTGGTGGGGCCAGTGGGGAGATGACTTTTGAGGTGCCTCAAAAGGAATGGGGGAGATTGGTGGATATGGAAAGGTGGAGGAGATGGGGTATGGGGGGGCAGTGGGGAGATGGGAAAGTCTGAAGGCTGTTGCGTTTTTTTAGGCGCCTTAAAAGGCTGATGCGGGAAATGTAAAAGGCGAGTGGAGGGGTGACTGGTGCACATGGGAGAGCAGAGACGAATATGACGGATTTGGCAGGGTTTTCAAGGGATAAAAAAATGCTGGAGATGCTTATGTTGGGGATGAGGGGAGATGTGTACGATAATGGATGGGGGAATGTGGGGGAGTGGAGATGAAGGGAGCATGGAGCGGGGTGTGAGGGAGTCAGTACAGGAGATGGTTACAGAGGCGATGAGAAGGAGAAGATTGTGTATTGGAGCGCGTGGATAGGGAGCTGCAGAGAAGTTTCGTGGATGCATTTTCTGCTTGGTCGTCATTGCCAAGGACCCCCCAACCGGTTTGGCGATCAATTCAAAGAGTTGTAGAGTAGAAGGTTCTTATAAGGACGGGCAGAGTTACAATAAATCGAGAGAGTTATAGCTTGTACCAAAATTAGCTTCACTGTGTAGTGTGACATGACAAGTATCAACGTAAGAATTCTAGCTGGTCGAAAACATAAATACACTACTTATTGGACTAGTGGAGGCGCATCCCAGATCCTTGAAACGCGACCTAGATTTTGAATGCGGAAACCAAGCAGAGGAGGTTCGGTGCCAAAGCTTCTTGCCAAGCCTCAGAGACAAAGCTTCGGGGTTAAATGTGAAAGGGAGATTCAGTACGGTACGTGGATATAGAACGGTAGTGAGTGAGATTCAAAAGCAGGTGCAGTCAACCCTTGGTATTGACTGGCTTCCCCGAGTTTGTCGCTCATTTCCCCTCAGCTTTCGTCACCTCTCGCCGTATCGCAGCGCGGTTACAAACTTACTAGCGGGTAGTCCCTGAAAATGCATTCGGGCAGTCGCTAAAATAACTCGCCTACTTCAAACGCAGCAAGCGGCCAAGCCGCGGCAAGAACGCGCTCCAGAAATTCGAATGCGGGCAGCCAAGCGACCATTGCGGGAACAAAACACATTCTCAGGCTCGGCAGCGACATGAGAGAATCCCGCGACATTCTCCCTACCGAGCCTGGACTCTCTCCCCCAAACCAAGCCACTGGGGCCCTTCTCCCTCGCCCTCCCAGTCTCCCGCCATCCCATCACCTCTCGCCATCTCTCTGACTCAGCGCTGCCGAACAAGGTCTCGTCTACTTCGCCTAACAAATCCGCAGCCAAAAAACAACTTCTATCGTCTCAAGTTAGCTTCTGCATTCTGCTCTCCATCGCCTCTAGCCTTCGGATAAGCTTCACGTTTGCTCACGTTCTGAAGAGTCACCACGATGGCCTTAGAGCCTGACTACCCCTCGTACTTCAGTGCGCTTAGTTTTTGGAAGAATCTTAGTTGCAATACCAATTCGACGCAACCCTTGCTGCAGCCTCGGAGCTCTTCCAGCAGCACGATCAAGCTCCGCCAGGCCGACAGCTTCGGGCTGGCGCCCTACGGCAGCGAAGCTGGCGACGCGATGCTCTCCTACGCTGACGCCAGCAACGAAAGCGTCGACGACGCCAGACGCGACGAAGCCTGTCTTATCGACGCTGCAGCATCGCTGCTAGGAATGACGAATCAAGAAGTGCAAGATTCAGCGACATCGGATCCGACGACGACCGATCTGACATCTTCAGGCTCGTCGATGTTGGATTGGCCAACTTCGGATCCAATGGCGTCTGTACCGGCGGCTGTGACGTCGCCGACGGAACGGGTGGCATCGGAATCGATCATTTCGGAATCGTCGGAAGCGGTGATGTCGGAACGGGTGGCGTCGGAACCGTTAACTTCGGAAGTGGCAGCGTCGGAAGCGGTGACGTCGGAATCGATGTCTTCAGAATCGATCACTTCGGAAACGGCGGAGGCGTCGGAAGCGGTGGGGTCGAAACTGCAGGCGTCGGAACTGGTGGCGTCGGAAGCGGAGGCGTCGGTAGCGGAGGCGTGGGAAGCGGAGGCGTCGGTAGCGGGGGCGTCTGAAGTGGCAACTCCGAAACCAGCGGTGACATTGCAACCAGCAACATCGTTGTCGCCGGTTGAAGGTTCACTGACGGCGGCATCTGGGTTGGCCAAGGCAGCGACAAACTTGGTACCTACCTCATTCGTGCTGCCGTCTCGCATCCCCAAACCAAGCGGTCAGAGAACGTTGTTCGTGAAAAGCCGCGCGGCGGAGGGTTCGACGCTGATTCCGCGGCCCGCAGGAGCCACTGCAGCAGAACGGCAGGTGCGCGGACGAAGGAGCTCTAAAGACACGAAGCAGCACGAGGGGAGGAGCGATGCGATTCCCGCGGCTTCTAAGCAGCTTCGTACTGGATCATCGTCCGCGCTAGTGCGGTCTGCAAGCTCCCGGCGTCCATGGCGGCCGTGAACACTGATGTGACTCGCTGGTGACTCAGCAGGTCGGACATATCAACCTCTAACCTTCTCATGTACCAAGACTGGACCCGTCGTTTAAGAAGCAGCAGAGTCAGGACTACGACTCCAGCGGGATGAAGATGTGGGGAGCACAGAAGCAGAGCCAGAAGCAGATCGCAGCAGTGGGGTGGTGGTTGGGAGGTTGGGGAAGTGGGATGAAGGTGGGACCCTTTTTTGCACCCTGCTCGTCAGGGTGTTCAGGAGAGTGGGTTGGCGAAACTGGTGTGGGCTGGAAAGATCGTCATCTGCTGTCATGTGGCTGTGCCTTGGGTTCCCTCATAGGTTGTCTCTCGTCCAGTGCGCTCCCAGAGGGATGGTTCTGGTCCGGTGCGCTCCCAGAGGGATGGCTCTGGTCCGGTGCGCTCCTTAAGGGATGGCTCTGGTCCGGTGCGCTCCCAGAGGGATGGCTCTGGTCCGGCGCGCTCCTTAAGGGATGGCTCTGGTCCGGTGCGCTCCCTAAGGGATGGCTCTGGTCCGGAGCGCTCCCAAAGGGATGGCTCTGGTCCGGTGCGCTCCCGAAGGGATGGCTCTGGTCCGGTGCGCTCCCAAAAGGATGGCTCTGGTCCGGTGCGCTCCTAAAGGGATGGCTCTGGTCCGGTGCGCTCCCAAAGGGATGGATCTGGTCCGGTGCGCTCCCAGAGGGATGGCTCTGGTCCGGTGCGCTCCCAAAAGGATGGCTCTGGTCCGGTGCGCTCCCAGAGGGATGGCTCTGGTCCGGTGCGCTCCCAGAGGGATGGCTCTGGTCCGGCGTGCTTCCAACGGCTGGCGCAAGTGCGGTGTTATCTTTAACCATGCCAATTAGTCACTTGCTGTTGCTCACCTTGTGTTAGGTTCATGATTATACTGAAATGGTTTTGTAGTTGCATGTATTTGGTCTCTTACAATATTTGTGGCTGATTAAGCGTGTTTTTTCAGAAAGGGAAGATAAAAGCCAGCAGCTAAAATAGTGACCCCCCCCCCCCCCCTTCTAGTTGGGTCCACTTGAATTCTTAATGGAAGTTAGGGTGTTATGTTTTTTTGGGTTGCGAAGCAACCTATTACGATCGTTATGTACAATTTTTTTTCAATCCTCCATACTTCAAAAAATAAAGGATGGAAAAAATATAGTGAACGGTACTAGCTAAGGGACTGACTACTGACGAGGAGTGAGAACGGAATGAATTAACTATGAAACAGTGGGGTAGCTCATATGGGGTACACATTTCTAGGGTTGCATATTTGTATCACTTCCATTCCATAGTCATTCATTCTCGTTCTACTTTCCTCATGGTATCGAGCAGGTTCCCCCGTGGAAACTGTGCCTAGGGCCCACCACATCGAGCCTTTTTTTTTTCCTGCCCGAAGCGCGCTCAGCCTGAGTCGCGCTCCGGGCTCTCACTTCGTCGAGCCGCCCTAGCGGCCCCAACGCCCTAGCGGCCCCGTCGCCCTAGTGGCCCCGCCGCCCATCGATTAGGCCCCGCCGCCCTAACGGCCCCGCCGCCCGTCGATTCGGCCCCGCCGCCCGTCGATTCGGCCCCGCCGCCTCTCTCGCTGCGGCCCCGCTGCCCTTCTCAGCGGCCCGGCCGCCCTTCGCTGCGGCCCCGCCGCCTCACACTGAGGCCCCGCCGCCCTTCGTCGCGGCCCCGCCGCCTCTCTCGCTGCGGCTCCGCCGCCCTTCTCAGCGGCCCCGCCGCCCTTCACTGCGGCCCCGCCGCCTCTCCCACTGCGGCCCCGCCGCCGTTCGTCGCGGCCCCGCCGCCTCTCTCGCTGCGGCTCCGCCGCCCTTCTCTGCGGCCCCGCCGCCTCTCCCGCTGCGGCCCCGCCACCTACCTTACGGCCCCGGCGCCCTTCACCGCCCGCTCCGTCCGAGCCGCTCGAGCCGCCTGAGCCGCTGAGGAGCTGAGCCGCCCGAGCCGCCTGAGGAGCCAAGCCGCCTGAGGAGCCGCCTGAGCCGCTGAGGAGCCGAGCCGCCCGAGTCGCCTGAGCCGCCCAAGCTGCCCGACCCTGCTGAGCCGCCCGAGCCGCCTAAGCCACTGAGGAGCCGAGCCCCCCGAGCCGCCCGAGCCACTGAGGAGCCGAGCCGCCCAAGCCCCCCGAGCCGCTGAGGAGCCGAGCCGCCCGAGCCGCCTGAGGAGCCGAGCCGCTGGTACCGCAGAGCCGCAGTTGCTGCTGAGCCGTCCGAGTAGCCGTGTTGCCGTGTTGCTGTGCTGCTCAGCTGCCCGAAACGCCCTCTCTGGTGAGAACAGTGCTTCTGTCACTACACTGCCCTTGTCCTACAGTTGGTACTGCTAGTCTACTGCTGTCATGGCTACCCCTAGTGTCCTCGCTTTTGACGCTGAGGGTCGCGCCATTGACTTTGAGGTCTGGGTCGACGACCTGCATCTGTACTTACAGTGCGATAGGGCAGACGGTCTCTCTCTCTTTGACCTCACCTCTGGCGCCTCTCCTGCCCCTGCTGCTGATGCTGACTCCAGTGTTCGCTCCCAGTGGGCCACGCGCGATGCCGCTGCACGTCTTGCTGTGCGTCGCCACCTGCCTACCGCTGAGCGCGCGCACTTTAGTCAGTACAAGAGTGCTCAGACCTTGTACGGCGCTGTAGTTGCGCGCTACT